TCCTATCCTATCCTATCCTTTCCTTTCCTTTCCTTTCCTTTCCTTTGCTATCCTATCCTATCCTATCCTATCCTATCCTATCCTTTCCTTTCCTTTCCTTTCCTTTGCTATCCTATCCTATCCTATTCCGCTTTTGTTTTTCTTGTTGCTCTTTTGTTCTCATTTGCTTTCTCATGATCATTTTTTTTTTCCAATGGGAGAATGGGGACAAATAGCTACATACTTTACCCTTTGATGAGAAGGAAGGGAGGACGAGCAGAACGAGGAGGCAGTTCCCAGGACAGGGTGGCAGAAGGGGCTGCAGACACTTACCCTGGAAGTGGTAGTTCCTTAGCTGCTGGCTGACCACGAGTTACTTATGCCCAAAGTTCACCTATTTGGGGCTTGATTTAGATTCTGTCATCATACGTATTTCCTTTGTGAATTTAGGAGCAGAATACGAGCTGGGTAAAGGTCTTTGAAGCTGGAGGGTATAGGGGCTGGGTGCTTGCAGCAAGAGGCTGGATGCCTCAGCACACACCTGCACACAGCTGCAGACCTCCAGGCAGAGCCAAACCCGCAGGGACTGCTGCTCACGGGCACCACACGCAGCTCTGCTGCTGGGGACGGGCCCACGGCTGCCCAGGGACAGCACCAAGTGTCACCGAAATCCTGAGCAAGGCTGAGCCACTCAGCGAGGAGAGACCGGGAGAGCCCCAGCTCTGCGAGTGCCACTGCAACACTGATTGATTCTGCCCCATTCCCAGTTTTCTGAGTGGAAAGGGAAGGACTGAGTGAGGTGATCTCAAACCACAGAACTCCCCTTGGTGAAATCCCAAAGCAGTAACATATGCCTGGAGAAGAGTTCTTCCTTTCACAGCTTTAGGCTTCCAGCAAGGATGATTGTCCTGCAAATGCATGTCCTATTTTCAGCATGAGGTGAGCTGCTTCTGCGGTGGTTACACCGGTGCAGGGGGAAACAAGGACACCTGCCACAGTTTACAGCCTTGCCAGGTTTCGGGGGACATCTGAAGCTCTCGGGGAAACCAATATCCTTCCTAGTAAAGTTCTCTGGTCCCTGATACCCCCTGCTGCTGGTCACTTTGCCATATCAGCTGTTCCCTGTTGAATTAATGCTCTGTGATAAAATGGTCCAAAGATAGATCATGAGAGGACTGAGCAGCTTCCATCCTCTCCTGAACTAACACCGTCCTCCAGCAGTGCCTGCAGCTTCCTGTCCCATCCTGTCACTTCACCAGGGCACAATATTGTCCCTCCTTCTGGAAAATGTCAGGGCAGGACAAGATGTCTCAAAGATTTTTAAACAAATAAACAGACCTCTCTTCAAGGATGCTGGGAAAGAGGCGATGGGAATAAGGCAAAGGATGAAGCGAAAGGATTCAGGGATCAGCCTGAGCTGGCTTTGCTCTTTCTCATCCGCGTTGGTGTTGGTTTCTGTGCTGGAGCCCTGGTTCCAGCCGTGGCCATGCTGTCTCCTTGGACAACCCCGCTGGGTTTCCCTGCGGGTGCCGCTGCTTGCCCTGYGCCGAGGCACAGAACACTGCGTTCCCCCCGGGGCTTTAGTGTCCGCCGGGCTGGCAGAGCAGCTGGAAAATGATTCTCCTGCACTTTCATGTCAGCATCCCAACAGGTGCTGGCTTTTCCAGGCACTGTGTAAGTGCATTCCTCCTGGCCTAGGTCAGTTGTGGAGGCCTGGGATTCCTGCTCGGGAGCAAGTGCTCTTCCCCGGTGGGCCCTGCACACAGGCCGGTGCCGYGGCGGGATGAAGAGGTGCCTCCCGCTGCTGCAGGCGGCTCCGCAGCCGGCACGGCACGGGCACAGGCAGGGCTTGCACCGTGACATCCGGCCTGGGGCTGTTGGCCACCTTTTGCAGAGATCCCAGATCTGATGAGGAATCACAGACTCATTTTGGAGTTAGGGAGCTCCCTCCCTGCACTGCATGGACTTCGGTCGTGCTTGCAGCAGAAAACCGTGCCTGGGTTTGAATCAGCACATCCTAAAGCCACTATGAGCAAGGGCAGGAAGGACAGGGAAGACATGGGGTGGTGGGTGTCTCCTCACTTAAGCATTAGGGAACCTAGAGCAGATCAGTGCCCATCTTTGCCAGCCCTGCCTAGTGCTGAGCCCTGAGCTCATCTCTTCTGGTCTGTTGCAGAGCTCCACCGCCACGAGAGCACCCAGGAGAAGAATGTGAAGGAGGCCAAAACCAAGTGCAGAACCATCGCATCCCTGCTGACGGATGCTCCAAACCCCCACTCCAAGGGGGTGCTCATGTTCAAGAAGCGCCGGCAGAGAGCCAARAAGTACACGCTGGTCAGCTTCGGCAGCGTCGACGAAGACCGCTGCGACGACGACGAGGACGGGGTTTTTCCAACGAGTGAGTCTGAGTTTGATGAGGAAGGTTTCTCCGACGCCCGAAGCTTAACTAATCACTCAGACTGGGACACCTACCTGGAAATCGAGAAGGCCAGGTCGGACTCTGAGCAGAAGGAAGAGAAGCAGCAGGGCTTGAGCGAGGCCTCAGGTAAAGGAGCCAGACTGTTCGAGCAGCAGAGGGAGCGGGCCGGGAAGTACACGGTGGAGCAGGTGCGGGCGCCGAGCAGCCCCCCGGGCCAGGCCATGGTGAACGGGGACGTGTCCGTGGGGCACCAGGGCAACGTGGCACTCGGCGCGCGCCCCGGCACTAGCCACGTGCCGGACACGCAGCCGGCCCCGCTCCCGACCCACGGCCTGGCCACCCTCAGCCCCAGCGCCCTCCCGCCGCCCCCAGGCACCCCCGAGCCCTCCTCGGCCAGCRTGTTCAACAGGTCTGCGCGGCCCTTCACCCCCGGCCTCTCCGGCCAGCGCCCCATGACCTCCTCTGTCACCTTCAAGCCGTCCGCGCCCCGCAGGCCGGCTGAGAGCCAGGGCGGGCCGAGCGCGGCGCCTGCCCCCCTCTCGCCGCCCGGCGCCGCAGGCAGCGCGGTGGYCCCCGTGCCGCGGGGCGCCGTGAGCTCCTCCACGTCCCTGTATATCGCTGCGCCAGGGCGGGCAGCCCCGGATGGGCAGCCGGGAGCGGGMGCGAGCGCTCCAGAGAACAGGCCTCCTGCCAGCACGGCGCGCACATCCACGGCCTCCATCTTTCTGTCTGCCCCGTCGAAGCCGGGCGGAGAGGCGGCCTCTGCGGCGCCCGCAGCACGAGTCCCCGGCGTGGCCTCCTCCTCGCTGTACATCAGCCCAGCTCCGTGGCAGCCGGCGGCGAGCAGCTCCCCGCTGCCAGGGCAGCCCTGTCCCGCCGCGTGGCCGGCGGCACCACGGCCCCCTTCGGAGCCGCTCACGTCGAGGGAGCAGCGGATCGCCGTGCCGGCCCCGCGCACCGGCATCCTGCAGGAGGCTCGCCGGCGCGGCAACAAGAAGCCCATGTTCAGCCGCATCGAGGAGAAGAAGAAGAATTCACCCAACCCCGAACTCCTGTCGCTGGTGCAGAACCTGGATGAGAAGCCCAAAGGCGACCACCCCAGCGCGGGCTTCGAGTCGGGGCCCGAGGAGGATTTTCTGAGCCTGGGCGCCGAGGCCTGCAACTTCATGCAGCCCGCGGGCCGCAAGTTCAAGACGCCGCCGCCGGTGGCTCCAAAGCCGCCGCAGCAGCAGGAGGCCGCGCTGCTGAACGGCGCCCACGACCTGCCCCAGCTGAAGGGCAAGGGCGCAGAGCTCTTCGCCAAGCGCCAGAGCCGCATGGACAAATACGTGGTGGAGACAACCCCGAAGCCTGACTCCAAGCCCCGGACGCCCTCTCCTTCCCCCTCTCTACCCTCATCCTGGAAATACTCCTCCAACATCCGAGCTCCCCCTCCGATAGCTTACAACCCGATGCACTCCCCTTTCTACCCGCTGGCAGCCAGCAAGTCGCAGGCGAGCAAAGCAGAGAGCAAAGTGAAAAAGGCCCCGAACCCAAAGTCGGGGCTCAAGGTCCTTGACTTCATGCGCCACCAGCCCTACCAGCTGAAATCAGCCATGTTCTGCTTTGAGGAGCCCCCGAGCGCCGCGGAGGCTCCCGCGCCGGCGGCCCCGCACGCCCGCGCCGCCCCGCAGCAGCCCGTGAAAACGGCCAAGACGCAGGAGATCCGGCGCTTCTCCACGCCGGCTCCCATGCCGTCCTCGAGCAGCCTGGCGCCCACCGTGCTCGTGCCCCGCTCGGCCACCACGCTGGACGAGCCGCTCTGGAGGACGGAAACGGCCGCCTCGGCGCCCGCCACGCCGGCGCCCTTCCCAGCRGAGCCCAGCCAGGCGGCCAAGGCCTTCGGGAGCTCCCCGGAGCTGGGGCCGGCGGGACGAGGGCCCTCCCCRGGCCCTGCCGCTGCCTCTCGGTTCCAGGTGGCCCGGCCCAAGTTCTCGGCAGCCCGGACGGGGATGCAGGCCAACGTGTGGAGGCCGAGCTTCGGGCACCACTGAGGCACCCGCYGCTCCCCTCCTGGCCGTGGCCCCGCAGAGATAGTGCTCGTTTTGTCTTTCATGCTCAGTTCATTGGGGTGAGTGACACAAAAGGAAGAAAAGAGAAAAAAAATGACTCCCCTTCTGCACCACCCTCTCCCGTAGCCTCCCCTTGGTCTCGGATGGGCAGCTTCATGGCAGGGCTTAGTGGCTGTGGCTGGAGCAGGAGGAAGGACATGGGGYACCGGGTGGTGGCACAGCCTGGTGGCAAACCTCAGGATAGAAGTTCTGGCTTCCCCATGGCAGCGTCTTTGCTGAGCCTGCCTGTACCCGTGCACTCGTGTGTGCAAACACAAACATGTGCAGACACACACGGACCACGGGCAGCAAAGGGCCCAGGGGGCGGGAGGCTCCACCTTGGACCTTCCTGCCCACATCACCCTGGGGAGAGGCAAGAGAGCAAGCAGAGGGGTCCTGCCCAGGAGGATGGCAATGGGTGCCCCTTCCTCTGGGCACCCCGAGGGATGGGGCTGAAAGGGAGAGTCGCCGCAGCGGGTGCCAGGCACAGCTCTCCTGGTGGTGCCTGTTTGTGGTAAGGGGGGCACTCAACAGGTTTGGTGGGACTACCACAAGCTGGGGGAACCAGAGAAGGAAGCAACCTTTTTTAGGCACACAACAGGCCAAGTGCAGCCGAGGGCTCCAGGCAGCCCCCGCAGCACCAGCTCCCCGGAATGGGACAYGGACGCTGAAGTGTAAGGGAGGACTGTGTAGGAGCAAGTGATGTTGGCGTCGAAGGAGCAGGACCGAATGTGCATTTGCACAGCAGCCTTTTGTTCAGTGCAAGACAGGAGTGTGGCTAAGCGGGAAGTGGGTCAGGACACGAAACTTGCCGAGAACTCTCCACTGAGCTGGAAAATGGAGGCCTTCCCAGACGGACTCAGCAGAGAGTGGGGGACAGGGAAACAGGAAGGCACTGGTGGAATTTCATGCTAAATAATTTAAACATCCTCAGGGCTATTTGATAAGAACTGAAGTGCTCTGAGATTCCTGGCGGATCTGCAGGCACACACAGCCATGCAGAGCTCGGTGTGTGGGCAGTGCTGGGGAAAGAGGGCTGGTTATCCCCACAACGTCTCAGGGCGGCCTCAGGCTGCCTCCCTGCACTGAGAGCTTGTGACATGTAACATTTCCCTTCCTGAGGAGGAATGCAGGCCATGAGCAGGGAACGTGTGTGTGTGTGCTGGGGTTTGCACACACCCCTGCTGTTGGCCTGCCTGCCCTTGCTCCCATTTTCGCAGCAGCCACTTCCACAGTGTGATCCCACAGCAAGGGAAGGGCGACGCTCCCCAACACAGCAGGCAGCCCTGGTGTGGGGAAGGGCTTTGCCACCTTGCTCTGTGCAGGCCGGGACCCTCAGGAACACATCCCGGAGCAGGGGGATGTGTAGCCCTGCTCATCACACCTCTCCATCTCATTARATGTGGTCCTTTCCTTCAAGCAGAATCCATTCTCAGAATGGACTGCGCAGGAGCTACAGATCTACCAAASTGTGGCTTCTAGGGTAGGACAAGCACCAGCTCTGTGAGCCGTGGGGCCCCGTGGTTTCACCCCAAGCCCAAGCAGCTGGAGCCCGTGGTGTGCAGCTCTTCACATGGAGGCTGGGGGCTTTAGTTTGCCTCTTTGTGAGCTGATAGAGATACTGCAAGAAAGAGAGGGCTGGAGAACCTAGCTAGCACCTCTGCTCCTGGACAAACTTGGGAGAGAGCAAGGAAAGAAAGGAAAAGCAAGGCACAGTCCTGCCTGCTGCACAGACGGTGCCGCCGTGCGCATTCCCGGGCTCGGCGGCGAGGGTGGCCCTGCGGGCACGGGGCAGCCTATGGGGAGCCCCGCTGCCATGGGGAGCCCCGCTGCCGTGGGGAGCCCCGCTGCCGTGGGGAGCCCCGCTGCCATGGGGAATCCCGCTGCCGTGGGGAGCCCCGCTGCCGTGGGGAGCCCCGCTGCCGTGGGGAGCACAACCGGCAGCAGCGCCCAGAGCTGGTGAGCAAGGGGAGGTCCCTGCTCAGCTCCCGCAGGGAGGAGCAGCCCCGCCACAAACCCTAACTTGGACAATTCATTCTCACTCATCCTGTGATGCCTTGCACGGCCTGCGCTTCTGGAAGAGAATGCAATTTGCTGCTGCAAGCTGAGTCTCTGTGATTTTTTTTCCCAAAGAACTGTGGGAGTCATTTATTTTCCTAGGAGAACTGTGGGAAGGAAMCGAAGGACTAGCAGTACCCTCGGTTTTCACTGCAGGGTGCTGGCTATTCTGTCAATGATTTTAGCCAGCAGTTTTAGGGAGGCCAGCTAGTCCAGACTGAAAGCATCGCTGAACTCATGTCAAGAAGGGTTGTGGGGACCAGCAAAATGTGCTCATGGTAATTCTGCAGTGAAAAAATAACCCCAGAAAGCCCGAATCTCACTGCAGTATCTCTGTCCACGTGGGCCATGAAGTGCTCACAGGGCCTGAGTGTTTCAGGAGCTTCATTTTGCCAGTGGAGTGAAAGGGAGGTTTGGCCTCAGCGCGGGCCTGCACCTAGTTAGTACCTGGGTGGGATCACTCTGGATTTGTGGGATGCAGGCCAAGCAGTTATGGCCAAGCTCTGTCAGGTRTTAGACTGTAGGACTCATCTGAGTGGGATACCTGCATTTGGCCTATTGTTTCTGATAATGTAATGGGCAGAGCATGAAAAGAAGTTAGGTTAGACTGGAGAAGCAGTATTAAACATCAGAGCAAGGAAAATAATCAGGAGGCTGGGGACTCTGCATTTCACTCCTAACATTCTTGATTCTTGCCCAAGCTTAGAAGCAAAGACAAATAGTTTGATTTAGCCTCTAAACCTCTCTTGGTGTTTTCTGGATTCTCTGCTGCGGATAGGACAGGCCCTGCAGGAGCCGAGGGTGCTGCAGGTTAGACCKGCAGTATTCTGAGTACCCCCAATAAGGCCTGGGGCTGCAAGTAGCATGAGCGGAGACCTAGCCCTGAGCTAAGCACCCTGCTGAGCTGTAGGAAAGAAACCTCAGCTATTGGTGGCCTCGAGCAGCTCTGCTAACATCAACTCATGAAAATAAGGAGGCAGACCGGTTAGGAAGGTCATGTGTGAGGTTACAAAGGGGACTTTTGAAGCCCGTAAGCTTGTCTTGATGCTCCCCAAATTTCTCATTCCTCCACTGTTAAACAAACACAGATTGCAGCACTTGATCGAGAACTCCTGCCTTGCTGTGTTACAGGCTGCAGAGGCCAAACCCCGCGTTCCCCTGCTAAGCATTTAAAGATGTCTGCATGGGCTCTGACTTCAAACTGCTTATCGTCCTTCTCTAGCAGGCTGCCGATTACGGGTTGCAGCTCTGGCAATTCTGGGGGTTTATCTCAGCTTTGGAAGTGTCAATGCTGTCCCTCTGTGTCTATGGGAGCACTCGCTAGAGATAACCTCGAGTGCTGGCAGCAGCTGAGAGCAAGTATCTCAGAGAGACGTCCCTGATGACCAGCCCAGTCCAGTCCGGATTGCTCCTCACACGGAATTGGCTCTTTCTGCTGCAACATCCAAGCCCTCTTCCCAGAAGAGACTCGTCCGTGCTCTGAAAGCAGGAGCCCAGCAGCACTGCTGTGTGTGCTAGAAGATGTAACCCCAGAAAGAGAACAGCATTGGCCTCTTCGTGTATGAAACTCATCTTGTTTTCCTTCTCTGTTTGTTTTTTCAATTTAAAGTCACTTTCTATTTGTTTGTGCAGAAGAATAAACTTGTGATATGCACTTTATATGCTACATTTGTCACTGGCTTTGCTTAGCACCCAAAAGGAACTGTTATGTGTACAGAACATTGAACTATCACTGGCACTATGAACTACTAGGGTCAAATAAATATAAGGAATAATAATAACAATAATAATAATAATAATAATAATAATAATAATAATAATAATAATAATAATAATAATAATAATAATAATAATAATAAAAGATGTCTGGCAATAAAACCACAAAGACTTAAGTTGGACTTAAAATTACTACACATTAAAAAGAAAACCGCCAAAACTCCACACAAACAAAAAAAGTGAGATGTGAACTCTGGTACCACCGGAGATAAAACTACAGGATCTTTGCTACTGGGGGCAAAGAARAAATTCCTTCAAGTGTCACAGCCTGATACTTTTGGCAGAGCTAATTTTAGCTCTGTCCCTGCCTGTTAACTCTCAGTATAATCCACAGCTCTGTCCTGCGTTAGCCAAGGGATCTCTGCCTACCATAAAAGAAAATCAAGCTAGGAAGCCCGCAGAGGTCCCAGCTGAAAGGCTATTTCAGCCGCCTCTTCTTTTCCCCGTTATGGTGTAGACTGAAAGTGTCAGCATGAAATCTAGCACCAAAGATCTTCTCGTCTTTGGCTGTAGCAGTCCCTGTCCTGGCAAACACAACCCGTCCTAACCTCAACACTGAACGGAGGGGAAACGGCACCTCCCATCTAAAACTAATTCAGCCGCTTTTTTGGTCTCAGCCTTAATCCTTGTTTCCCAGCTGCTGCCAGCCCTGGCTGCTGCTTAGAGGGATTCCCAGCTTTAGCCTTCACCCCATGGCAGCCAATACCACCGGAGCTGCCAGGCACAGCTTGTGCCAGGCACATAACCACTTGCAGCCTGGCAGCCCCTTCTATTCCCAGGCCTAACCACATCCAGCACTGCCCAGCTGGAAGTACTTTCCCATAATCCAACCCCCTATCCAGTGATCACTGCAAAAACCACCTCAAACAAACAAMCAAACAGGCCTATGTTAGCAATAGTTCTAAATTCACCAGGTCTTGCTTGGCCGAACTCTACCCACAGTCCTGCTCCCACTTAACCTTGGGCAAGAGCCCCTCTCAGCTTCCAGGAACAGCCTGGTGGCTTTGCTGTCACCAGGTAACACTCCCCACGATGGCCATTCCCACTAGTGCCCATGAGCCGAACCCCAGCCCCAGGCATCACCTGTATCACTGCTCTTGTTCTTGGCCTCTCCAAGCAACC